AAGAAAAAGCCCATTTTTCGAAAGAGGTTATATACTTATTTTGTTCATGTTTGAAAACTCACAAAAGGGAAAAGAGTACAAATCTCACTGTCCCGTTTCCAGCTATTCAGTTTCTCTCACTGGGAAGCAGTCAATCTTATGTGTACAGTAGTTAATTCATGAATAAGCAGTGTATTCTTCCCTCTTTTTTAAAAATAAAAATGGCATTGTACAAATGTTATGCACACTATTCTGCACTTTTGCTTTCTCACTAAATAGTATACCCTGGATATTTACTTATGTTTTAACAAGTCTCAAGTTTAGATGTTGCTTACCGAAACTCTCATCTATTGATAAAGACAAGAGGCAAGTAGTGGGAACTCAACAAATGTCGTTGCCAGTTTCATCACTCTTCCAAAATAAACAAGCCAACGCTGCTACACCTGTCTGCTGAAATGAAATTCAGGACTAGTCCATAAGGGATGTTGCTATCTTCACCTTAGAACTGCTGTAGAAACATACCTTCGGTGACATTCTTGAAAGTCGTGTTCTTAAAAAAGACCAGATGTGTTTCTAATCCTGCCATTAAGAGGCAAAAACAGTAGTTGACTCAAAAGTTTTTATGTCAAAATCTGAGAAACCATAAGTAACCTTGACCCCAAGCCTTGGATAAATTGAAATCATAGGATTAATAAAGTAAATTATTTTTTGCTTAAAGCTTTAGCTGTAGTGTTTTCTATTTTTGTTTTACTAAATTGCTTATATTCCACTGCTTCCTGTGTAGAAAACTGTAAGTGCAAATTAATTTTAAGATATTTGGTAACTGCCTTGTTTTCTGTGCTTCGTACCATCACTAACCACATTATAAATAGTAGGAATTGACATTTTATAAATTTGTGATACTAAAAATTCATGATTCATAACAGCTGAAAGCTTATAATCCCTGCTTTGCCGTTGGACTGATTGCTTTCTGCCTTTGTTATCTGGACAGCAACAAACAGGGTGGACTCTAGGGGAAGGAAAGAAAGGCAAATGGTAAAGACGTCGATTTGAGTTTTGAAGGGTTTTTTGTTACTGTTACCTTTTAGGTGCATTACTGCTTTTGGTGTGTACATTGTTTGCTAAAAATCCCTACAATGTTAGAATTTTATCATTTTAAAATTGAATAGTGTTTGGGCTCCTGCCCCTTACTGAATATGCAAGTTCTGGAATTAGTGTTACTTTTTCCAGGCAGCTCAGCTTAATTAGTGTGTTACTTGTTACTTTTTTTTTTATTAAAGTTTATTGGGGTGACAATGGTTAGTAAACTTACATAGGTTTCAAGTGTATAGTTCCATAATACATCATCTATATATCACATTGTGTGTTCACCACCTAGAGTCAGTTCTCTTTTATCACCATACATTTGATCCCGTTTACCCTCATCTACCACCCCCCTCTCCCCCATTACCCTCTGTTAACCACTAAACTATTATCAGTATCTATGAGTTTTTGTTTCTTCATTTGTTTGTCTTGTTCTTTTGTTGTTTTCAGTTTTATATCCCACATATCAGTGAAATCATATGGCTCTCGACTTTTTCTGTCTGGCTTATTTCGCTTAGCATAATAATCTCAAGATCCATCCATTTTGTCGCAAATGGCATTATTTCATCTTTTCTTATGGCAGAGTAGTATTCCATTGTGTATATATACCACAACTTCTTTATCCAATCATCTATCGAAGGACATTTTGGTTGTTTCCATGTCTTGGCCACTGTAAATAAAGCTGCAGTGAACAACGGAGCACATATATCTTTACAGATAAATGTTTTCAGATTTTTGGGGTAGATACCCAGGAGAGGGATTGCTGGGTCATATGGTAATTCTATTCTTAATTTTTTGAGGAACCTCCATTCTGCCTTCCATAACAGCTGCACCAATCTGCAGTCCCTCCAACAGTGTATGAGGGTCCCTTTTTTTCCACAGCCTCTCCAACACTTGTTATTATTTATCTTGCTGATAATAGCCATTCTAACAGGTGTGAGGTGATATCTCATTGTGGTTTTTATTTGCATGTCTCTGATGATTAGTGATACTGGTTACTTTTAAAAAGCATTGTTAAAGAGATTATATTGCCCATGTGTGCATGTGTGTCTATGTGTGGATAGGAGCCTATGTATGTGCAGGAGGGCAGGAGAGAAGAGTATTCAATAAAATCAATGTCTCTGAGTCACTTTAATTTAGAGTTCACTGTGAAAAAGGCTTATGGTGTTTGCTTAAGTTTCCTGAAGCTTCTTGTGGTGATAGGTGCTGAGAACATGTGGGTCCTATGTTTATACTTTATTCCTTGCCTATCTTAGACACAAATAGCTTGCACCATCTATGTCATTTTTAATAATATTGTCTCTCTCTCTCTCTCACACACACACACACACACACACACACACACACACACACATAATTACTAGAATATATGTTCCAGTAAAGTAGGACCTTGCCTGGCTTATTCACAAAATTATTCCCAGAATTTAGAACAGTGTCTAGCCCGTAGTAGATGCTCAATAAACATTTATTATATGAATAAATATATTAGCACTACCTACTTTATTATGACTTGTTTTATGTGGGCAGTGATTTCTGATGAAAGATCTTATTCTGTGCTGCATAGTACTACCTGACGTGTTTACATCATTCAGAACCTAATGTTTCTGTTAATCAGCTGCTGTTCGAGGGAACACTAATTTCCTTAATATATCATAACTTATGTTTTAATTAAGGTTTGAGATCAACCAGAAGTTCTTAAGAAAATAAAATAATAAAGTATATAAATATTAAAGTAATTATAAAATAGGGAAACATCATATTCATCGCCTCAAATGATCTGGGGAATGGACAGTAAAATGCAAACCAACTGAACCTTCCTGAGTTCAACTAACTTTCAAAGAACATTGTGAGCTTTTATGTGTCCCATCCTTCAGTGTCCTAATAGTAATGCTATGTTATCATATTTTTATGCTCAGCAAATAAAATATTGATGGAAATTTGTTTGGTGCAGGGTCAGAATTGCAATAGGAGTTACAATTGTATATTTATTAAAAGTATGGCAAAGTTTTAAACTAATATTTCTAATGTTTAAATATCGTTTTTGTTATCATTAGACATAATTAATTGGAGGCACTGTGAAATACATCGAATTGTGTCCTCTATGTAGGTAGTTCTTATGGGGTAGCATTTTCATTATGATACTTATAACATCCTTTAGTGAATATGTTATCATTGTCCCATGACACTGGCTCTGTAGTGGAATTCATCTTCAACTGGCTGTAAAACATCTTTCTTCAGTGGAAGTCACACTACTTTAAAATATTATCTCAGGGCTTTTAGCTTATAAAGGAAATACTGGAAAAGTGATTTATTCTTACCTAGCAGGATGGAAAATGGCAGCATAAACAGGGCAAGTCAATTGCATAGGGTCAGTTGACAAATCATTTTTATGTGGTTGAGATCAAGTTTCCCAAAGTCACACTCTAGCACATGAGGGACTGATCCACCCTTAAGACCGATCAATGAAGTAAAAGTCCAGTGTTTACTTTGCTTGGTTAGAAAGGATAAAGTTGCTGATTCATTTTTAGACTGATGTGCCTCAAGGCTTCAAAATTTGTGCATCAAATTATGTACATGCCAGATACAATCAGGCAGCTTTTTATATTGTGTCAATGGGTTGACCTTCTATGAGGTGGTAATGAAATAAATTGGAATCAAGTGTTTTGGGATAGTTAGGAGAATAAAAATGAATTTCTAGTGGCAACAAATACTTTCTTTGGTATTAAAAGAGCAAGAGAAAAAGCAATAGAATATAAAAAAGACCTAAAGAGGTTATTTTTTAAATGAATATAATTACATTAAAGAATATTATAGGCAACCATGAAAAAAATAACAGTAAAATCAAAAAAGTGCCCTATCAAAGATCCAACTAGAAGTGGATAATGAATCTAAATATTGGACAGTTATGGTCTGTCTGCCTCGTATTATCATCTATTTATTTATAGTTCTCTTTGGGGAGATAGATCTAAGTTTACTGCTAGCAAATTCTTCCTCTTTTTACCTTAGTTCAGTGTTTCCCAAGTGTGTTTTCCAGAATGTAAGATTCGTGGGATACTCAGATGGGGGATATGGTCAGAGACCTTTAGAAAATGTTATGTATATAATATATATTAATATTCCAGGCAACTTACTTTAGAAACACAGGAAGAAGTAACAGTGATGACAGTGGGTCAAAGAATGAAGGGATATGGCTGAGCCAAGATAGGTTTTATGGGTCACTTCAGATTTTTGCAGAATTACTGATTTCTTCACATGCCATGGTCATTTTCCACTTTGCAGAAACATTAATTAAAAAAATGCTTTGGGTCCTTTTGAATTATATAGTCTGTCAAATGCATGGTTTTTAAATTGAACATGTATAATGTCACTTTGACACTGGAAAAAGTGCACTTTGGGATGTCTTGTTGGATTTTTTTTTTTAATTCATAGAAGTTGCTTTCCTTAGAGTGTGGCATTTAATTGAAAAGGTAATTTCTCAGAAATTACTGTAATTCTAGATTTTTCTCCTCAAATATTTTGAGAATTACTATTGTCACTTTTAATAGTGATCATGAAAAGAAGTTTAGAGTTCGAAATCCATACCAGCTATATTTCTGATTTAGCCTACCACCCCAAATCATATACTTAATTTCTTGTCAAATAGAAGTCTATTGGATGTTATTAACTTGAATGTGATGCATATTTTCTGTCCTTTATCTTTCAAAACTTTAGAAAGGAACAGTTACAGTTTGAAAGCTTTTAGGATGCTGCAATGGGACAAATGGCCTCTTTGATGCTGGGCATTTGGTTCATTTTATTTGTGATAGAACATGGGGATATATTTAAAACCATGATTAGCTGAGATTTCTATTTTATTAATATTAAATGTGTAAGTATTGAACTGTTAATGAAATGTGAGACATTTTACCCAGTGACATTTTAAATGAATCTCATTGTAGGGAAAGCCTGTGGGAACACCAGATGCTGGCGCTTATTTCCGTGTGCTGGCGGAGCATGGAGTCGCTGCCTTGTTTACAGCGCCGACTGCAATTAGAGCCATCCGTCAACAGGACCCCGGGGCAGCCTTAGGGAAGCAGTACTCTCTGACAAGGTGAACGGGATGCGCAGGGCAACCTACATTAAAAACTGCAATCGGAATGAATAACTGAACGCTTTATTTTTTTCTGGCGCTGCAATACCGCTGTGGAAAGAGCCAAAAGATTATGAATGTTATTAACAATGACTGTTCTAAACATATCTTTGAAGTACTTGGAACTTTACACTGTGGATATTTTTAAATACCATATCATGGTTATTTCAGCTCAAATATTACCAAAATATTTCTCCTTTTAAAACTACCCTGCTTATATTTTCCTTAAAGTAAAATGCTGACTATGACTTAAAATGCATATATATGTGTATATATGTATATGTATGCACACACACATATACATACACATACACACACATATGTTTTTGTGAAAATAGAAGAATGGTTTAAATAGAATAAAATATTATTTTAGTTCAAATATACAGATAAAACATGAAAAGTAAAGTACAAATTACCTTTGTTGATAGAGTGAAGGAAATTATTTTTCTATTGTTTAGTAATAATTTGCTCTGAATAGTTTAGATATTTTTGTGCTGGCTATTGACATTCATTTTAGTTTAATGGTATGTATATTCAAAGATAAGTATAGCGATTTGTATCTTCGAGGCAGTTTCCAGCATCAGTTCTCATTGAACCTCTTTGAAATAGGTCACTGCTGTCATAAACTAAATGAAGAGATTTTATAGTTTCTTCAAGTCAAAAAGTGTGTTTGAATTAAGTTGGTTTGAATTTTTTAAGTTAAATTCCAAATGTTTTGAATTTTATGTTAAAGTATGCATACACCAATTGCAGATGTAAGCAAGATGCATTCAGTTTGGGCAGGGTCAGTGGTTTTGTTTCTTTTTCCTCGATTTTTTTTTAATTTTATGAAAAAAATAGATCTAATATTATAATATTTCTATTCATCCTCTATTTGTTCCTTCATTTACGACATTTCAATTTATTTTCCTCCATTTCAGTCAAAAGGATAGAAACAAATTTTTGTAAAAACGTCTGAGGCTGTGTATAGTCTTCATGTCTTAAGACAATTCCGGGGCATTTGAAGAAACAGCGATTGTAGTTCAACAGCGATTGTAGTTCGTCGCGTTATCTCTTTACAGACAAATGCATTCCAGTTGCAGGGCATGAAGCTGTGTGACCAGCAAGCTAAGGTCTCTCTTTTGCTACATCATCTTTCCCCATTTCCATATGGGTTTTAGATGCTATTTTTGATTGTGAGGGCAGGAACTGTTTCTAATTTGCCCAATGTATAAAGCATCAAACAATACTAGATGTCTATTAAATCATCACTTTTAAACTAATACATATAGACAGAGAGTATGAGATTTTAGTATAAGAGAAATTGTAATAAGTACCCCCTGATCATGCCCCTTTGTCTTTAGGCACCTAAATTATTTATGATGATGTGCACATATGTGATTAATAGATAGGAATGCCGACTCTACAAACACTTTCACTTATTTAACTTACTACTGCTAATAAATGCAAACGCTTACTGAAAATCTACTCTATGCCACTTCATCTCTTTTTGTCATCACAATAAGTAGGAATTGTGATGATCTGCATTTTACAAATGAGTAAGATCGGGCCCAGGGAGTTTAACATAGGCAATCTAACTGGGACCCACACTCTTAACTAAATACCACATACATACTCTTTTTTTTTTTAATTTATTTTTTTTATTGTTAGTTTCAGGTGTACAGAACAATACAATAGTTACCCTTTTCACCCTCACCAGGTAACAACCGCCCTCCCCCCATCTATTGCCCTCCCACCCCTGATATCATGCTTATCTATTACAATTCCATTGAATCCGTTCCCGCTCTCTACTCCATGTCCCGAGACTATATGTATATATAATTATAGTTGACATACAGTATTGTTCAACATCAGTTTCAGAAATACAATGCGGTGGTCAGGCCTCTACATCGACTATGAAGTGGACTCCCCAAAAGGACATGGGTCCATCTGGCCCCCTAAGAAATACTTACAACATTATAGATTATATTCCTCGGACTGTCTTTTTCTATCCCTGAGGCCATATTACAATTACTAATTTGTATTGTCTCATCCCTTCCCCTTCTCCTTCATCCCCACCCCCTCCCAACTAACAACCCTCAGTTCTTCCTCTGTGTCTCTGAGACTATCTCCATCCACTTCTCCCATCCAAAATGCCCATCGGTAGATGACTGGATTAAGAAACTTTGGTACATTTACACAATGGAGTATTATTCAGCTATAAAGAAGAAGGAAATAGTACCCTTTGCAACAATATGGATGGAACTAGAGAACATTATGCTAAGTGAAATAAGTCAGTCAGAGAAAGACAAACATCATATGATCTCACATACATACTCTTAATGAGAGAACCACATTAGGAAACTAACTCAACGCAGATTATTTTTGTCATTCATGAGATTAAAGCAACTTTCGCTTTTCGTGTATTTTTAGTTTATTCCAATAATACCTTCACTGAACTACTTTAGTAGATTCTCACTTGTGGAATAAGAGAATGTTAGAAACAGGGATCTCAGAAATCATACTATCCCACTTTAAAAACAAGGACACTGAGTTCCCAAAAAAGTTAAGTTTGTATTAGAGACAGAATAAAGATCAGAACTCAAATCTTGTCTTACTATACCTGTATTTTATATTTATATTCAAACATTTCATACTTACTGAATTGACATTCACTAGATATTATTATAATTACAACCTCATGATTTATTTGCAAAATTTATCTCTCTCTTTTTCTTACAGAACATTTCAAACGATGAACTTTTCTTTTCAAATGCGTTACATATCTCACTAAAGATTGTTTCAAAATACATTTGGAGATTTGCCAAAAATTTCAGTTCACAAAACAAATTTTAGAGGGTACTCTGAGATAGGGAACTAACCAGAACTATAAATTCATGTTATAATAGACAACTAGAGTTTGGAAAAATGGAAGTCATCTAGTGTAATCATCTCATTTCATGGTTGAGAAAACTTTGTCACAGAGAGGTGAAAAACTACTCTGGGGACAACGCTGGGACCCAGGTAGTGCAGTATGGCAGTTAGGGTTCTGAATCTGGAGTTAGACCCATTTACTAGCTATGTGACCTTGAGAAAGTTACATAATCTCTCTGTTCTTTTTGTGGACTATAAAGATAAAAATAGTACAAGAATATAATGATAATAAACGGTACACAATCCATGCAAAACACTTGAAACAGTTCTTAACATAGACTAAGTCTTAGCTATTATTAATATCTTCTGCTTTCTAATTCGCTGCCCTTTTTCATCGCATCATAGTAGTTTATTTTCCCATGATTTTCTAGTTCAATTTCAATCAAGTTAGAAAAAAAATTCATTTCTGGGATTTCCACTCAAGATAATCACAGCACCACATGCTCGATGCAACCTCTCTTTTCCAATTACATAGCAATGAGAACTGATACAACAGAAAAAGCGGAGCATCAGAGTTGAGCTGAAAAATAAACATTTCTGTGGACTGGAAATGGAATAGATTTGCAAAGTGGTAAGGCTTTATAGTTAGGCTTTATAGTAAGGCTTTATATTATCATCAGATGCATCCCAGATGGAAAATGCCATCCAAGTACTAAGCATATTAAATGTAAGTAAATTCTCACTGAACATGTCATTTGAAAAATTGCAGACATAAATTGAGGCTAGGTGTACAAGCAGGCATTGGCAGAATATTAGGGACTCAGAAAACCCCTCCTTTAATCAGGAAGTCAGAGCCAGCTCAGTGCTTGAAGACAGGCTGTGGTGTTTCTCTCTATTTAGGAAAGGGGGCTGATAATAATGGCTGTCAGTTGTTTTCTGGGGCTGTGACTTACAGCAAGCTTTGGTCTAGGGGTCTGAATAAGGCAGAGAACAGCCTAGCAGCCAGAGACTGAACCAAGCTGCTCACCTGCTCAGCTATGGTATCCCGAGTATCACTGTGGGTTAGTAATTCTGGACCATGATTATGGCCTCTGTGGGAATCTCCCACAAACCGATGAACAGAGAAGAAGAGCATAGGAGAGGAAGAGATAAAAGTAAAAACAAAGAACTTTTTCAAAAAGAGCCAGAAAAATAAAATTCCAAATTACACAAATAACTCTAATGCTAATAAAATCAACAGTTAGAACATAGATTCATTCCAGTTGAGATTGATTTTGTAATACAGTCATCAAACCTGAAAATAAGTATGTGAAGGGTGATCAAAATCATAAAGTAATAACTTTTATGTAAAATTATTAAATATGTAGTGGGTATAAAAATTTTTAAATGCAATGGATGGTGTAAACTAAGTAAATAAATAAAACAAAAAGATGGGCAGAAAGACTATAAAAAATTACAATAGAGTATTGAGAAAACTACCCAGCATGCAGTACAGGAAAACAAAGAAGTAAAAACTCTGAAAGAACAGTGAAGAAACTTGTAGGGAAGAATAAGAAACTACAAATACACCTAATAAGAATTTCAGAAGTAGAGAATGGAAGAATTGCTAAAGAAATGATCATTGGAAAGCCAACAGTTGAAAACGTTACAGAATTGAAGAAAGATATGGATCCCAGACGTCATCATTCAAGTACTCAACTGGGTATATATAAGGAGATTTTCATTGGACATGTCATTTGGAAATTGCAGAACATAAATTGAGGCTATAGATAAAATCTAATAAACTACCAGAGAGAATCAACAGAACACCAAAGAGGAAAATTAAATTGATGCCAATAGTTTTCAGATGACAATTGTGAAAGATTTTCAAAGTGCTGAGGGAGAATTGTCAAACTGAAATTTTTTATTGAAGACTGAAGGCAAAATTTAAAAATGTTCATATGCACAAAGCTAAAAGACCTTAATATCCAAGGACTTTCATGAAAGGAAAAATGCACATGGAGGAATGATGTGGGATACAAAAAACAAGCATCTGCAAAAAATGATGAAATATATTGTTGAATTTATATGTTGAATTTGTATAGTTAGTATAATAATTATAATGGGAT